TGGCACTGTATGGTTCAGGAAGTATACCTCAAATTCTTCCTGCTACTTGAGTTCTTTTCCAGACCATTACTATTTCCACTTGCTTCTGTATATATGTGATTTGGGGCTCAGGGAAGAATTGAACCCCAGCTTTATACCAGATACTAGTCACTTGGCCTATATCCTCTTCTCTCTAAAGTAAGCCTTATAACCATTTTACACTTATGGTTCAGAGGTTTAGCTCAGCATGGAGCACACAAGTATAATATGGCAGAGTTTGATTTCAAAGCTGTCGTCTTTCTACTATGCTATACTGTTTGCATTTCCCAGTGTGAATTTGGCCCATAGTGATTATTCTTAGGGGAACCAAATCAGAGTTTAAGGTTTTCTTTTATTTCTTAGTGGACATGGCTCAATTTTCCTATCATTCTGGAATGGCCTCTATCCTTTCTTGTCACAAAGATTGGATGTAAAATAAGTCTCATTTCCCCAGTAAGCAGCTCACTTTGTCCTTTACTCACCTCAAGTCAGACTCTTTGTCTAGCAGAGGTCATAGTAATTGTTTACAGAAAACAGGCTGATGATAAATGGAGCAAATGTGGATTTGTCACTGAAAATTTCTACTCCCTACGATGAAGTCCTTGTTCTTAGACCTGGGGAACTAAAAAAAATCTGTTCTCTAAATTTCCTCAAAGTTGAGGTTCCTTGATCTTTCTACCCCCAGTCTTCTCTCCTGGCCTGACCTGGGTGGAGACTGTGTTGCTAGCCTGCAGGTACCCAAAGATCAGCCCATTTTCCCACTGCATGCCCCTTCTAGTCAGTGCCCTTTGCTCATCCAGGATGACTTTCCCAGGCATTGCCTCCTGGTTGCTGTAGAGTGTGTGGTCATACCATGGTTCGCTAAGTTGGTCTAATGTTTTTACATTTTTAGTGGTTTCTGGTATTTTACTTCAGCAAGGAGAATGGTTATCACTATAGTCTTTGGAATCTAGTATACTCTGAATCAGTTCCCAGCTCTGCCATGATGTAGCTGTGTGACCCTGGGAAGTTACTTCATGTTTTTGAGCTGTACTTTCCTTATCAGTAAAATAGGAATAATAAAAATACTGCTGCTCAGAGGACATGAAACAAACACATTCTTAACCCATATTAATTGTGGATAGCTGTAGTTGTCAACTTGACACACCTGGGTTGAGGGAGCCTCAATTGGGGAATTGCCTCCATTGCACTGGCCTGTGGTCATGTCTGTGGGGGCATTTTCTCGATTTTTGAGTGATTTGGAAGGGCCCAGTCCACTGTGGACAGTGCCACCCCTGGGCAGGTTGTTCTGTATTGTATTAAGAAAGCAGGCTGAGCGTGAGCCAGGAAAGCAAGCCAGCAAGCAGTGTTCCTTCATGGCCTGTGCTCCAGCTCCTGCCTCCAGGTTCCTACCCTGGGTTCCTACCTTGAACTCCCTGATGAACTGTGACCCAGGAGATGTAAACCAAATAAACCCTTTCCTCCCCAAGTTAGTATTGGTCAGAGTGTTTTGTCACAAAAATGGAAAGCAAACTAGAACATTTATTGCTAAATGTAAGTTTTTTTTGTTTTTTTTTTTTTTTTGGTCTTTTTGAGACTGAGTCTCCCTGCAGCCCCAGCTGGCCTGGACTTGCTATGGAGATTAGGCTGCCCTCAATATCACAGAGATTCACCTGCCTCTGCCTGAGATTAATGGTGCACACCACCATACCTGGCTTTACCTTTAGCTTTTTGAGACAGGGTCTTATTCTATAGCTCAGGATGGCTTGGAATTCACTGTGTAGCCCAGACTGGACTCCAGCTGTCAGATAACTTCCTGTCTCAGCCTTCTGAGTACTTGACTCACCACATTTGGATAAATGTAAACTATTAATTTTGCAAATATTGTTATCTTTTTTGGAATCCACTGGGTACAAAGAGATATTTTTTTTTTTTTGTCTTTTTTGAGACAGGGTCTCCCTGTAACCCCAGCTGTCCTGGAACTCACTATATAGGCCAGGCTGGCCTTGAACTCACAGAGATCTGCCTGCCTCTGCCTCCCAAGTGCTGGGATTAAAGGCGTGCGCCACCACGCTGGCAGGCCATAATTTTTTAAAAATTGTAGTCATTGGATAAAGAAAAATAGGCCGGGTGTGGTGGCGCTCGGAGGCCAACATAGTCTCCATGGTGAATCCAGGACAGCTGGAGCTACAGGGAGACCCTGTCTCAAAAATACCAAAAAAATAAAAAATAAAAAAATAAATTTGTTCCCCACCTGGTTATGAAGTAGATCCTAACTGTTGTGGGTATCCAGGGGCATGTACAATGTGGGACTGGGTGTCACAATTCAGAAACCCTTTGCTAGCTGGACATGGTAGGCACTCAGGAGGCAGACATGGGCAGATCTCTGAGTTCAAGGCCAGCCAGGACTGTATAGTGAGACCCCGTCTCAAACAAAACAAAACTTTTGATGATTATTTACTTCTATTGTGATCTAAAAGGGCGATTAAGCAAGCAAAGGAATTTAGAGGATGCTTTAAGTATTTTTTTCTTTCTTTCTTCCTTCCTTTCTTTCTTTCTTTCTTTCCCTTTCTTTCTTTCCCTTCCTTCCCCCTCCCTCCCTCCCTCCCTCCCTCCCTCTCTCTCTCTCTCTTTCTTTCTTTCTTTCTTTCTTTCTTTCTTTCTTTCTTTCTTTCTTTCTTTCTTTCTTTCTTTCTCTTTCTTTCTTTTTTCCTTTGAGATAGTGTCTCATTGTATAGCTCTAGCTGGCCTGGCCTGAAACTTGCTTTCAGAAATCACCTGCTTTAAGAATTTCTGATGAATGGATGTCTAATTCAATTTTGGGTATTAAAGTTGAAAAGTTTTTAGTTTTCTAAAATGGTGTTATATAGAAACTGGTATATACAGACTGATTTGAAATTAATTCCTTATTAACACATAGGAACAGGCACAGTTAAAGTTTAGTTCTAGCCTTAGTGCTTTATAAATTAAGCTGTAATTTTTTTTTACTGATATGTCACCAAATTTTAGTCTTATGCAATGTGCTCTTATTTAAGGATTTAGTAAAAATTATTTGGGATAAGTGAGTATGCACACATTAAATATGAACATTAAAATGGGCTACTATTAAATGACTTATTCTGTGTGTCAATGCCTTAAGTGTGTGACCTTTTAACTTTTCAAGAATCATTATCTACACAACAGAGTTGTATGTAAACTTACAAACTCTTTTTGTTCCTGTTTAGTTTCTCTAGATTCTCTAAATTATCAGTGAACACTTCTCCATAGTACTGGGATCAAAGTCAGGGCTTGACACATGCTAGGCAAGTACTCTACCACAGAACCATACCCCCAGCCCGGAGAACAATTCTTAATGGGCTTTGGGGCTATCATATATTAATTTTAAATCTCCTGAACAGTGAGATCTGATTATCTGAAGCCAATACCACCTCACTGCAGATTCCTTGATTTTCAGGGTTGGAATTAAACCTCAAATATCCTGGAATGTATCACCTTTTAAAATTGAGATTGATTTTACTTATGTAAAAAGGTAAATGTATTAGTAATGTATTGTGGTCAAGGTTTTTCTCAGACCATAAATTTTTTGCCATAATGGGAGAGAGCAGAGGTGAAAAGAACTACATTATTTGTTAATCATTTGTTAGTCGTGTCATGAAACATTCCTCTCTGGGTGTAGTGCACCACCATGGTGCATATAGCCAGCTCCACACCAGCCAGAGCTGCAGTGAGATCCTGTCTCAAAAACCAATAATATCTGGGCATGGTGGTCCATACCTTTAGTACCAGCCCTAGGGAGGCTGAGGCAAGTGAATCTTTGTGAGATCAAGGCCAGCCTGACCTACACTACATACTTCCAGGCTACAAGGAGACCCTGTCTCAAAGAAAAACCATCCCTCCCAACCCCAATAATAATAAAAATAATACTCCTCTAATCCTCAGTTCTGTGGGCACAACATGAGGGCTATCTAGAAGATACAAGAAGAGCTTCCTTGATCCTCTAACTGGGACACTTGTTTCCTGCTCTTTTCTCAGATCACAGATGGGAAAAACGGAACACTACTATGAGGACTTGCTGAATGTTCAGTCTCTGAATATTTAATTACCTTCTTCCAGATATACCATCATAGTCACCAAATAGGAACTTCCTGCAATACTGCTCTTGACCAAGGCCTGGGAAACTTGTCAGTTCTTGTATCTCTCTGCCTTTCCTTCTGCCTCAAGCTCCCCCTTCTTGAGGACTGTGCTTTCCACTTCCGAAAAACCTCCATTCCCTACTAACACTTTCCTGAAAACAAGTTCATTGTATTCACCCTCAGCAGGAGGAAGGCCTAGCCATCGTCTCCGGGCAGTGCTTGACATACTGAATTGACAGTGAGCTTTTGTGAGACTAAATTGATTCAGGTCTCTAGGTCCCCTCAATTGCTCCTAGGGGCACGTTTGTTCTTTCCTACAGGGAGGAGGGGTCTGGCCTTAATGACTCGCCTTTCTGGGTAGTAGCAGACAGTTGGGCAGAAATTTAGGGCAACAATAGGTTCCTTTATTCTAGGCACGGTACAGACCGATTCTTTTTAAGTGCAAAGGTTCTTGAATCTAATTTAGACTTCTAGGCTGGGTAGGTGGTATGCAGTGCGATTTACTGTGTGACCTCTATTTAACTCAGTAATACCATCCTCCCCAATCTCAGTGTAAGTAGCGACAATACAAAATCCGACCCAGCTTCGTGACTGGTCAGGCGCACAGCCAGCGCTCATTACAGCTGTAGGGCTGGCTCCCAGCTGCTGGGGGTGCCCAGTCCCGGCCGGGGCACCCAGCCTCGCTCACACTAACCGCTAGTCGCCCCTGACCTCACAGTCCCCCGGGGTTGAGGAGCTCCCAGCTCGGCGGTGCCCCTGCTTTCCTTTCCCCAGAGGAGGGCAGCCTCTGGGCGACGCTGGTTTCCCAGCCGGCAGGTTTAGGATGCCGCACCCGGAAGTGGCGGCTGGAGCCGGATCGCTGAGGTGTTGGGCGGCGGGACAGCGACTCCGACTCGGGGGGTGGGGCGGGGGCGTTGGCCATGTTTCCCTTCGGGCCCCACAGCCCGGGCAGCGACAGGGAGGCTGGGGCGGTAGAGCCGCCGCCCGGCGCACGGCCGGCCGCAGCCTCCAGGCCTCCCTCTCCCGCTCCGCTGCCTGCGCCTCTGCAGCCCGGAGCTGACGCGGCGCCTCCTCCGCCGGCCGCCCGCAGCCCTCGCCGCCCGGGCGCCCCCTCGTTGTCCCCGGCCGCGTGCTCTGGAGAGCTGGCGGCCCCGGGAGCTCTGGAGCGGTCCGCTTCCCCGGCTCAGGGAGAGCTGTCACCGCCCTCCTCGCCGCGCGGGCACTCGGGGCCCGACTGCAGGGCGGGGAGCCGCGGCTTCCAGGGCCTCAGCGCGGGCCTGGGTAGCCCTGGCGCCAGACTGTTCGGGTGGCTGAGGGAGCGCAGCCTGGGCCGCGGGCTGTTCGTGGATCCCGCGCGGGACAACTTCCGCACGATGACCAACCTGTATGGCTCCATCCACCCCGCGGACTCCGTGTACCTCAGCACCCGCACCCACGGGGCTGTCTTCAACCTGGAGTACTCGCCCGACGGGTAAGCGCGGCCCCTGGGGGTGAGGACCCTCCGCAGCCCCCGCTGCTCTAGGCTGGGTCAGCCCGCAGCCGCTGACACTTTGGGAAGCAAGCACACTGTTAGATGAGCCTCATCCTGTCCTGGGCGGACAGCACCAGTTTGCTTCCCTTCAGGACCCGGGAGGTCCTGGGAAGCAGAAATACCTAAAGACATCATTGCAGGTCTGCCAAAGCCCGACTACAGTTCTGTCTAGGACTGTCAGTAAATAGAAAGGCCGGTTCTTTCGCTGTTATCCTAGGTCGGCTTCTCTCTGATCTACGCTTGTGTCAAGGATAGGGAGCTTGCAGTCTTTGTACCTTGCGCCAGAAGCTGCCGTGAAGGGGACAAGTCAAAGCTCTAGAAAGACAGTAAGACACTGCAGAAGGGCGTTTCTCAAAGGGCCATTTGTGAGGGTCCCAGGCTAGACAAGCTTGTGTTAATGGTACCCCGCATTTTTCTTGGCAGATAAGAATTATGTTTGCTCTTGCTTTACTTCAAGCTATGGGGTATTTTCAAAACAGTATTCCATATATATTTAATACCCGGTCCGTAACAGCAATCAGAGGGGAAAACTGCGTGGTTCTACCATAAGAGGATATAATTAATAGCATTCTTATCACATCAGGCCTCTGGGTAACTCGTATTTGCTTAGTTGATGTATTCATTCAATTCTTCATTCAGCCAATGTTCCTTGAGTGCTTCATAACAATGGTGAGCAAAACTAGCTAATGACACTCCTTTCATGGAGCTTGAGATCTGTTAGTTCAACTAGACATGAAATAGCCATACTAAATAATGCATAATGTTATTTACAAATTGAGATGAAGGCTTAAGACCTATTGGAGTAGGGTATTTAAGGTTTCTCTAAGAAAGTGACACTTGGACCAAAGTCAGAAAAATTCGTAGGCGCTAAATGAATCCAGACAGTGCTAGAGAAGGAATAGAAGTATTTCATATGCCAAAGGACTCTGGCAGGAGTGAGGAAGGAAACATGTTAGAGCAGCTGAAAAACAATGAAGCAAAAACATTTTTTTAATTTTTATTTTATGTGTAGGCGTGTATTGCCTGCATGTAGGTAAGTGTACGCGTGTGGTGCAGTGCCCCAGGAGGTCAGAAGAGGCTGTCAGATCCCCTGGGACTGGAGTTATGGACAGTTGTTAGCAGCCATATGGGTGCTGGGATTCAAACCCCAGTCTTCTGCAAGAACAACCAATGTTCTTAACTGCTGAGCCATCTCTCCAGCCCCTCATGCTCTATTCTTTTTTTTTTGGTCTTTTTGAGACAGGGTCTCCCTGTAGCCCCAGCTGTCCTGGAACTCATTATGTAGACCAGGCTGGCCTTGAACTCACAGAGATCTGCCTGCCTCTGCCTCCCAAGTGCTGGGATTACAGGCATGCACTGCACCACACCCTGCCCATGCTCTATTCTTAAAGCTCTCTCCTCTTCCCAAACTTTGAGAGTTTGTGCCTCTCTTCTCTATATCTCAAACCCTCTTCTACCAAATTCCTACTTTCAGGACTTAGGAAGTAGCTTTGTCAGTTCTCTGGAGGTGGAATTTTGGTAGAAAATGGTCATGGTAGAATTAATTATGAAAAATGTAATTCATATTGCCAGGGTATTAGAATGAGGGGTATGCTGCACATAGCTCTTATTTGACTCTGCTCTAGACATATTTATGGTTTTTTTTTTTTTACATCTGGTCATTTATTTGTGTGTCTGGGTGTGTGTATACATGTGTGTGCCATACTGCACATGTGGGAAGCACATGTGTAAAGCACATGTGTGGTCAGAGGATAACCTGTGGGGCTAACCATTGAGCAATCTTGCCATCCTCCAAAGACATTTTTTTTTCAAAGTAATTAGGTATTCTGGCACTTAAAAGAAATATATATTAGGGGCTGGAGAGATGGCTCAGTGGTTAAGAACACTGACTGTTCTTGCAGAAGACCCAGGTTCAAACCCCATCACCCACATGGCAGCTAACAACTGTCTGTAACTCCAGTTCCAGGGGATCTGACAGTCTCTTCTGTCCTCCACAGGCATTGTACAACACAGGTGCACTTACCTAAATGCAGGCATAACACTCATATACATAAAATAATAAAATATTTTTTAAAAGAAATGTATATTGGCCGGA